AAGCAGGTCAGTGGGGCACTAAGAGAAGCGTGGTCTTTTTTTCAATCAATGTGTTCAAGCCATTTCTCTTGGGAGATGCTTCCGAGTGAATTCCTGCACTGAGCTGTGGTTGAACACTGGCAGAGGGAGCCCTTCCAGAATTTCTTTTGGGAACACAAGGAAGACACCAACCTGTTCACTGGAAAAGTTTCTCCATAGACAGCAAGTGATTTCTTAGCCTCGGACATTTTTGCTTAGAGCACCAAATGCAAATATAGGTCTCCCACCCATAACTGCCCTAATGGGAGTTGTAGTTGTAGGACTCTTCATGGAACAGAACATCCCATCCATCCCCCACCTGCTCACCTTTGCCTTATTCTGGACAGGAATGTAAAGTTTGAACTCGGCAGGAAGCTCATCCTCAGAGTAGAGTCTGTCTGAGAAGTAAATTCTGCGGATGCGACAGTTTGCATGGATCTGAAAAGGAAATCATATATGAAGATGCAGCAAGAGCTACTTCAAATCCTACCCCCATCTAAAAATGCCCTGGCGTTTCATTCAAACCCTGGACCTTTACTCTCTGGATAGTTAGATGGAAGGCTTATGCCAACAATGGTTTCAACAACCATGGCCAAAGCCCTTTGGACTTCCCTCCAAGGCGCATCTACCTAGTGAGCTCCCAGAGACAGCTCTGCAGATCCACTGCCCAAGAGCTCCCTTTCAGAGTGGCCCAGAGCTCCTGAGCACAAAGAATCTCTTTTCCACTCTATGGGTTTCTTCTATCGATATCCATGCCTAGAAGCTGCACAAATCTCACTGGAAACGTCCTTTGATGAAAAGCCTCTTGATCCTTCAGTGTTGACAAGTTCTGAAGTGATTGACTCAATGCTATCAAAAGTTGCTACAATTGCCTCTCTGAATTTTTTTACAGAAAAAAGGGACGCTCTCTGTTCTCTGACAAATTACAGGTCCTCCCTCCAGTAATGAACATTCACAGCCTAATCCTATCAAATGAGCTATTCACACTTAACTCATTTGTTCTGCATGGGCTGCCATTCCAAATTTGCATCCGGTCCCGTATAAGTCAGCCCAAAGGTCAAACTGGAGTTGATGTGTGACTATATTCCAGTGTGCCCAAAGACAAATTAAATCACAAAGGAAAGAGAGAACTATCTTGTGCTACATTTCTTTGCAAAAACAAAATTGGTAGCTATTGGTCCATTCTCACTTTTGCTTTTGTAAAAGAATAAAGATTATAAAGGAATCTTTTAAAGATTCCTAAGGAAAAGAATATCTTGAGTTAAAATTAGATATTACTATTTCTTTTTTTAACAAATCAAAGCCATTTGAAGCAATAAATAAAACTGTAGGTGGTCCATCTTATATTATTGGTAAATTTTGTAACTTGAAATAACAGATCCTCATCCGACTATGAGAAACAAGTCCTGCTTCTTTATGCATACTTTTGTATCAACTTGGTATCTTGGGAATTCAAATAATAGTTGGAAATGCCATCCTCAAAACCCAACATTGGCTCATATGAAGAGGCTGTAGTCCCTTAAGATAGATGTTCTCTCCTATAATTTTGCTCAGAAGATTCCTCGGCTTCAATAAAAGTACGCTTTCTTAGTTTGTGAATTAACAGGACAGTGGAAATAGTTACAGAATGTGTTTTATCATACAATTTGGTTGGAAGAATTATCCAACAATTACACAACAGTCAGGAGGAGCAGCTTTCCAGAGAGACGTATGTTTTTCTTCTTTTCCTTGCCCCCTTCCCCCCCCCCTTGGCATATCAAAGCTTTTTAAAGAGAGGTAACTTCATTGGCATCTCCAGGAATTAATCAGAGCCCAGGAAGCCTCCGGCCCTTGAACTCTCTACCTGGACTCTCAGGGTCTCAATGTAGTTGGTGCCATAAGCCCGGCGAGTAAAGTCCGACAGGTTGAACTGGATCTGGTTCCAGCCATCATCCAGGCGCATGGGCATGGTGCAGATGAACGGCTTGACCCGGGTGGTGCTTTGGTAGTTGCTGGCACGGAACCGTCGGCGCACATTTTTATCATCCAGCACCTAACAGGAGGAGACACCTTCCGCTAGTAGGGAGACGCTGCCGGGAAGGAGCCAGGGGAAGAGGCGGCGAGGCCGGGCCCTCCCAGCCCCCAGGAGGGTCCCGGGAGAGCCGGGGTGCTGCTCCCTCTGTCGCTGCGCACCCACCTGCACTTCGAAAGTGAAGTACTTCTTCAGGTTCTTGATGATCATCACCAGGAACGGCAACTTGATCCCCAGCGTCTTCTTTGGGTCAGCCGGACACGTGATGTAGGTGGTGCTGAGGGGGGGAAAGGCGAAAAGCTGCACAGGCCTTCCCACCCCCCAACTCCCCCCCAGCGGCAAAATCCAGGCCGGCGGCCGGAGCCCAGCAGAGCCCGGGCGGCGAGGCCGGAGCGGGGAAGTCCAGGCCAAAGTCCCGCGCCGGGCCCTCCCGGCGTCCCAGGGAGGCCTCTGGGGCCGGAGCGGCTTCTTCCCCGGCCAGGGCTGCCCGGGAAGCCGCCTCCTACCTGACGTTGGTCCCCTCGATCTCCAGCACCAGCGACTGGATGTCGTTGTCGGTGATTCGCTTGATGTGGCCGTTCCGCACCTGCCAGGGAGACGGAAGGAGCAACCGTCGCCGCCTGCCCGGACCCTCCGCCGGAGCCCCGGCCGCCGCCTGCCCGGCCCTCCCCCGCCGCGGGCCCTTCCCGCCGCGGGCCCCCCGCTCGCCTCAGCCCCGCCGCGGAAAGCGGGGGGGGGAGGGCGGGCGAAGGCCGGACCCGTCCCCGCCAGGTCCGCCAGGCCCGGCACCTTCTTGTCCCAGATCTGCAGCGGCTTGCTCCCGATGCTGTAGAGGATGGACAGGAAGCCGCTCTGGAACGTGTTCTTGAACATCCCGTCGCCGCGGCGCCTCAGCACCGTCCGCCCGCCCGTCCGCCGCGCGCGTCCCTCACGCCGAGGCCCCGGCGCGGAGGGAGACGTCTCTGGGGCCGAGCACTCCGAAGAAACCGCTCCGCGAGCGCTGGCTGCCTTCAAGAGGTGCCCGTCGCCGGGAGACGGACTACTTTCCGGACGGGACTCGTTTTGCCTCCCGCCCGAGTGTTGTCGGAGACCTCTTGTCGCCGCGGCAACCGGGGGGGGGGGCTCGCAAGCCCCGCCCCCGAAATCCAGAAAGGGGACTGGGATCCCCGGAGCCGGAAGGGGGGGGGGCTGCCGGGCCTCTAAAGCGCTTCTCCAACCCGGCGCCCTCCGGAGGGATTCACAGGAGGAGGAAATCGGAACGGATTTCTGGAATGAGCTTAGAGGTCATCTAGTCGGAATATATATAATCACTATATTCTAAAATACAGATAAAGGCAGGAATTGTCATTTAGATTCATTTAAGAACAAATACAATTCGTCTCTATTCTTCATTGTACTTTCCTGAATCTGGGCTAAATAGAAGTTTGCTCCTGCAAGTTTCTTGGAGTAAATGCCAAACAAACACATCCAGTGGATGAACAGGTAAGCGTCTAGTAGTCAGGGTGACAGACCTCAGGAAGGGACAGCAGATGGAGGCAAGGCAAAACAAGCAGAGATTGGCCCTCCTTTCAAGAAGTGTTTCCTGCCCCAGCTGGACAGAACCCCTCCTCAACACATTGGCTTCCACTAAAAGATGTAGGTCCTTTAGCTGAATTTTTTATCTGGGACAACTCCTGCAGATGTGCAGGCGACAGGATGGTTGTGAGTTCCGCAGAAACTGCACAGGCACGCAGAGGGAAGCTTCCCAAGAGATTCTCTTTCCATAAAAAAATAAATAGGATAGGACAGATGTATTTGTACTGGGACTGACGGGAGCTTTGCTTCCTACTGCTAGTTTTGCAAATGCATTGCTTGAACAGGTACCCTAGGCAGTGGGTCTCTTGACTGCCACAAGGCAAAAATTGTATGTATCCTCTTTACGGGAACTTCTGTTGCTGAGACAGTTGCTAAGTGAATTTCACCCCATTTTACGATCTTCCTTGCCATAATTGTTAAGTGAATCACTGCAGCTGTTAAGTTAGTAACACCGTTGTTAAGTGAATCCGTCTCCCCCATTGACTTTGCTTGTCAGAAGGTTGAAAAAGGGGATCACGGGACCCTGGGACACTGCGACCGTCGTATGTATGAGTCAGTTGTCAAGTGTCTGACTTTTGATCATGTTTCCATGGGGATGCTGCAATGGTCGCCAAGTATGAAAAATAGTTGTAGGTCACTTATTTTAGTGGTTTTAACTTTGGACAGTCACCCAATGAATGGTTGTGACCTGTTCCCCCCCCCCCCCCCCCGATGCTTCGTCCGAGCCCTGGGAGCAAAGAGCTGGGGAAAAGGCTGAAGCTCTGAGAGGGCACAAACTTTGCAAAGTGTCCCATCACTCTAGCAGTCTTATGTTACGATCCACTTGACTACACAAATAAGGGCTGAGCTACAGATAGTAGACCAGACCAGGGAATCGATTCCAGAGACTGCTGGAATTGGCGAGTGACAGAATCTTGCAATTGTTCTGGACTTCCTCCCATTGTCACATCTGCACCAAGGCGCTCTGCCAGCTGGACGGCCTCCTTCCCTCAGCCGTAAGGCGTTGTGAGCATTCTCGTTCTTCCCAGGCAGAGAAAAATAATGTATTTATAACGTAAGGAATTTATAAATGTAAATCATGGCTTTTTAAAAAACTTGCAGACGGCAAAGGCAAGAGAGAAACAGCCACAGCTCAGAGTACTTCGAGAGCCGGAGGAACGCTTTTCCTTCTAACGCCCATCGGAAAATCCACAAACAGCCTCAAGCTGGGAACCAGAGTGGACCGTCCAGCACAGCAGCTGCTGAATTGGTCTGCCAAACTCAGCTAAATGCTTTAGCTTTTAAAGGAGGTGAACAATGACACCTTCCTCTTAAATCCCCAGGCAAAATCTCAGGCCTGGACCAGTCTTTCCCTTCGGAGGCGTCTCAGAGACCAGATGAAGGAAAACACAAGTTTGTACATAGAGATTTATTGGTTCCAGTGAATCGTACAAATGGATCTGACCTGATGTCAATGCCAACATATCATTACTGGGATATGGAATGTAAACAGATGCTTCAAATAGAAACAGTCTAACTGCATCATTTAAAATTAAATATCTGACAATGTAATAAAGAAAAAAATTCTGCATTTAGGCATGGTGACAAAAATGTGTGAATTTAGGTTTATGAAGTCACCAGAATCACACAATATAATCTCCCCAAAAGTGGGGTTGAACTAAAGGGCTCAAAAGAGACCCAATGGGGGGGGGAGAGGAAGAAACCGAAAGGAGCATCTCACACACCCACCCACAGGGAGAGGACTGCACCCCGAGGGCTCCAAGGCAGGGCTGGGCATGTGCAAATGCTACGGCGCAGGTTTGTTGCAGACCAATTCTGAGCAACGCCCAGTTTCTGCTTCCAGAATCCCTCACTGCTTTCTTTGCAGAAACCCCTCCTCTTTGCTTCTTCACATATTCAAACCTGCTGTCATCAAAGCAATTCTAAATTTGACATTGATGGGAATGGCCCTGTTGGCTTTTTTTAGCAATAAGAACATGCCTCACTAGAAAAAAGCTCTTGTTCCGTCTCAAAGAACAACTTTTCTTCAAGCTCAGGCTGGCAGTTCCCTACAAGGGAAAAAAGTAACTGGGTTCCCCTCAATGGCTGCCTGTTTTGAATGGGTCTTGATGCAGATTAACTTGACTGACTCAATTCATGACCAAGACTTCTTGTTTGTGGGGGGGTGAAGGGCCCAAACCACAGGAGGGGTGGCCTCCCCGTGCACAGGTCTGCACTTGCTAATGATCTGACAAGGGTCTGTTTCTAGGCAGACAGGCTACACCCCAGTGCACACGAGAGGGGACAAAACAAAGGTGACCCAATGGGAGGTTAGGAAAGGCAGATTAGGAAACTGCAGAATCATCCTAGAGTCAGTCATGCAGACCTTTGGACACCCTCGGATCCATGTAAATCTTACACAGCCATTGGGATCAGGACTTTGGTAACACACAAAGAAAGTTGGGATAGCCACAAGTGCTGAAGAGAGAGGGCAGCTAAGCCTTAACTCTCTTCAAGATGAGGCTTCTGCTGAGCAGAGAGGGGCTGGGTTCATCCCTTCCTTAGGTGACAGAAGGGTGTGTTTGTATTTGTAAACCTCTGGAATTACCCGTCGTCGTTACCCAAACTTCATCGTGTGGCTGTGAGGCTACTGGAGAGCACAGGGCTGTCAGAGCCAGGCTGGGACTGCTCCTTCACAACTGGGTCTGAGGAGATAAAGAGAGGAGAGTTGCTGGAAACCAAAGGCCCTGTTATAACGCACCCGGGCTCTGCCTTGGGGTAGCAGGCCTTTCCGGCCTCCTGGGAAGACTTATCCAAGGCAAACTTTTCCTGCCCGGAGACTTGCTGCACCTGGCAATTTTGTGGGGAAAGGATGCTCTTCAGCAGTAATTCTTTTAGGTAGCTCCTATTTAGAAGTATAGTATGAGACATTAAGATCATCTGTGATGAAACCTAGCTATATCCCTAGAACTTGGAGTTTTTAAGAATTTGCTTTAAGCTGCTTTAATGCGTTCAAATGAAATAAATAAATAATCTAACATATTATTCAATGGGCAAGCTACAGGCACGTAATAGTGTTCATTCTGTAATTGTCAATGCTTAGCAGACTGACTGAAACAATGTCCTGGCAGGGACAACTATATTTTCACAGTGTTCTTGTGGTCTTCTGCACTTCCCCTTCTCCTTCTGCTTGCCACCTTTGCATTTTCAGCTAGCCATTAGTGGCGAGGAATTGTTGATGTGAACCAGTGTCTCACCAAGGAAGCCCAAGCAACTTGGCAAGGGAGCTTCCAACAGAAGCTTAACTCCTCAGCCCAAACAGGCTCACTGGCCTATCTCCAACTGGTGCCTGGGCCTTTCTGCTTTCTCCTGATGCTGTTCCTGGAAAGAATCGCCTCGGAGGTCGTCACTGCCTTTTAAATCTATAGATGCTTGGAAACAAGGGCTTTAGCGACTGTCCTATTCTTGATTTGTACTGTAATGCATGTAGCAGGAAAAATCTGAAACCTTTCAGTTATGAGAACAGATACTCCAAAACCCAAATACATTTAAATAAACATAATCAAATCAAACATTTAGCCCTCTCAGAACATCTTATATTTTCAAAGATTGGGACTGTGTCCTAAACTCTAAAAAATGTCTTCCAAACAGTTTTTCATTTAAATTTACCCATATCCCTTGGATAATTATTTCTAAGACAGCAGCCCCACCTCTCTTCTGCAACAGCCTCTGGAGGCACTTTAGTAATCAATGCCTAAGATAAATCGGTTTTGCAAAATATCAATGTGGAAGATTTTCTGAAAATATTCCCACATAGCAAAGAAATTGAAGTTTCCAAAGAAAAGCGATTGACAGCCAGCATTTTTGATAAAGAAAGGCTAAATTGGGCCTCTGCATTTCCATACCTCCCCCCAAAACTTACAGAAATAGGGGTGTTCCATGGCTTCTTTGGCCGTCAACCTCTGCTGATGGTCATATCGCAGGAGTTTGTCCAGAAGGTCCAAGACTTCTGGGCTGACCAGGTGTCTGTTTTCACTATGGATGAAATTCTCCCAGCGCTTCCGCGAGTGCCTGAAAGAAGAGGGGAGAAGCCGGGGGTCAGGGGGAGGCAGGTGGGGGATCACAGATCTCAGCAATGCAGTTGCAAGTTAGGTAATCACAGGCTGCCACAAAATTAAAACCTCATGAAACCGGAAGAGGAAAAAAAACCCGAGCACTGGAATTCCACAGGCTACAGAACTGGCCATACAATATTTGGAAGCCCTCCCGCAAGAAGGAAAGGCTGCACCTACTCAGAAAGAGGTCAGAAGGTCTGCCTGCCAGGAAAACCCAACTCACTTGGTGTCATCCTTCCTACTGTGGGTCCCAGTCTGGGTAACACAAGAGAAAAATATGCTACAATAAACTTACTGTCCCAAGATATCATTGAAGTGGGGGTCCAGTTCTATATGGTACTTCTTCAGATAACCATATAATTCATCTGTACCCAGAACCTTTGCGATGCGAACCAGCTGCAACAGAGAATAAATGTGTAGCACCAGAAAAAGTATGTAATTGTGGTTTAAAATACAATAAGCTAAATTTGTGGAGTTTGTCTTTAAAAGGAACAAAAACAAGTATCAAACTCAACTACCCACATTAAAATACTTTGCAGGAGATCAGTGATCTCTGTTTTAGAAAGATAATGTAATACAAGAAGTATTTCGAAATGAACGTGGGTTTTGTCTAATTATAAATGGTTGTGTGTTATTATTAATTCGATATAACTTTGAAAGTCTTATTGCGCAATGAACGCTTCTTGGGTTCTTATTTCGGGTTGCTGTACTTCTCATTTTCTTTATTTGAATGAAGGCTCACTATGCAAAACTACAAGAATAAATTCTTTATTTTAACAGCTCTATTGACATTCTTAGAGCTATGGCAATTTAGGAGTAGGAATAAGTTGACTGGGAATATATGAAAGGGGCTTCAAATGACCAGGATAGGCCTGGAAGCCACTAGAAGCCTATAACATTCAGATCTCCAACGTCTAGCCAAGGGTAGTCCTTTCTTCAGAGTCACACTCTCTCCTGTGCCAGGCCTCAGCCTCCATGCCTCAGGTCCGGCTCTGACCAAAAGCCCCACATGGTGCAGGCAGCTCCAGAACCAGAACAAGAAAATGGGAAGCAGCAGCATCTGCTGTTTCCTTGCCTGCCAATGTGCCTGTCCTAAGAATCCAGTCCTTTTAATCATCCCACAATTTTGTGCTCCCCCCAAAAGGTGTGTCACAATGCAGTGTTGAACATATACTGTGGTGGCAACTCAATATATTTCCAAATATTCTGAGTCGCCCCTCAAACCTCTCGTTTACTTCTTTGCCATAAAGCAAGTCACCTTTTTCAGGCTGTTCCAGCACCATTCAGGGCGTTCCATGGCAAAAGCAGCCCCAGCAGATGCACTCCAGAAGCCCAGGAAAAGACACCCGTTACAGCTTCTGGGCGCCATTTGCAGCATCCCCAACAGAGCTACCGTTAGTTCTGCCAAAGGCCGGTGGTCACCCCACATCCCAAGAGCCTTGCCTGACTCAGAGATTGTCTGGTTTCAATCTCCACTAAAAAGTGCAGCAAACTTTGGAGGCCGGGGCCTCCTTTGGGCAGCAAAAGGGAGATGCTGGAGATCCCAGCTGCTCTTGCCCCCGTTTCTCACCTGGTCATAGTTGTCCTGACCGTGAAAAAAGGGCTCTTTCCGGAAGATCATGCTGGCCAGCATACAGCCTAAGCTCCACATGTCTAAACTATAGTCGTACATCTGGGGAGTAGAGGAAACAGCAGAAACAAAACTATGAAAATGCACGCTAACATCTACTCCGTCTTCTTTACTTTCAGCTAAATTTTAAAACACACTATTATCACCTTTTATATAAGAGTTTTGTTCCAGCACCAGGGAAGGGAGCGGTTTCGAAAATGAATTCTAGCAAGGATCTGCGCTTCTCCCTCCAGGCTGTGTGTTAGCTGAATGGATGGCCAGATCAGGAACACACGGCACATACTCAGGTTTGGCCCCAGCCAGTCAGGGCCAGTTGCCTCTTCTGTGCTAATATTACTCCCTAATTTCCTTTTCCTTTGTCTACCCAAAGTGCAGGGATGATGCTCCCTCTGCAAAGCTCCTGAACCTCAGGAAGTGCGCTCGGAATTGCCACCCAAGGGGGCAAAAAGGACTCTGCGCTCCAGTGAACAGGAATACTCAGGCAAAGGGAACCGACTCTTGTATCTTTAAGGCCCTTGTTTTGCTTTCTTCCCCACCCAGTGTTGTCAAGACCTCTTTTGGCAACCCGGTATTTCCTGCACACCTAGGAGAGGTCTGGGCCAGACAGTTTTTATTGGTCCAGATGTGTTGCCAAAAGTGTCCCTCTTCACAATGCCGGTAATTGATTTGGACAGAGAGCTGGTCTTTCCATTTCTATCAGGCTGAAAAAGATCCAGAGTTCCAGCCTAAGGGACACAGCAAGGCAGTTTGGGCTGGGGCTATCACACCTGTAGCACAACTACCTGATACTCAATGGTTTCCCAAATATTTCTAAAAATATTTTGCCAGCAAACAACTTAAGCACCTGGTCTCTAAACTATACTAGTTGGGGGAGGAGAGGGAAACAGCAGCTACAAAATGCTCACTAACCTGCATTGTGTCTTCTGCATGATCTCATGAGTTGTTGTCTCATATTTTTAATCTACTTTAAAATTTCATTTCTTTATATATTTGTGGCAAACCCCGCTAACCCTTTTTTGTGGGGAAGAGTGGAAAGTAGCACTAGCACACATCAGTTTCTCAGAGCGAGACCCAAAATGGAGGGCAAATCTTACTTGGTAGTCCACAAGAAGCTCTGGCCCTTTGAAGTACCTGGAAGCTACCCGGACATTGTATTCCTGAGCTGGATGGTAGAACTCTGCTAAGCCCCAGTCGATCAGCCGCAACTGTGAACAGACAAAACAGCCAGCTACTGAATACACTCTGGCAAATGAAGACCGCCCAACAGCTCCATTCTGCCTTTCCACTCAGCCTTATAAATTTAGCCCCGTACTGCCAGTCTGTTTGAGAATTGCTGGACAATTCACGTACTAACATAACCCATCAGACTCGCATAAAGAAAGTTCATTGTTGGAAAAGAGGGACCAGATGCCTGTGGGGACCAAGCCGAAAGGCTCCCGCCATCTTCTATCCACAACGTCAACTGCAAGGGGAAAGCCTCTGCAACAGACACCAGGTCTGCCTCCCAGCACAAGCTGGGTTTCCCACCTCATTCTCAAGGATCTCCTCCTAAGGATGGCAAAGCCAGCTGCATCAAACATTCACATGGCAGGAAGGGGGAGGGAGGCCATTTTCCTGGCCCAATTCAGCTTTAGACTAGAGGATCTCAAAAGGAATCAAGACGAAGACCTGGGAAGGAAATGGAAGGTGCCAAGTGGAGCCAAAAGACCTGCTGGGGAAGCGCAGGGATGGCTGGGCCCTAAGGAGAACAGGGATCGATGGGCTGGTTGGCCCATTGATGAAAATCTGGTCATCTGAGGGCCTTGCAGACTTGCAGAACCACGGGGCTAGAAGCGACCTTGGAGGTCATCTAATCCAAACCCCTGCCCAAGGCAGGAATCCTCATACCATCTTGGACAAATGGTATGGGCGGGACAATAAACAATGGATGGAAACTAATGAAGCAGAGAAGCAATCTGGAAATAAGGAGAAACCTCCTAACAGTGAGAACAATTAATTGGTGGAACGGCTTGCCTTCAGAAGTTGAAGGTGCTTCATCACTGGAGGTTTTTAAGAAGAGACTGGATAGCCACTTGTCTGGAATGGTATAGGGTCTCCTGCTTGAACAGGGGGTTGGACTAGAAGACCTCCAAGGTCCCTTCCACCTTTATTCTGACTCTGATTCTTATTTAAAAACTAAAAAATATTGGAGCATTCAAGAGAAACTGTTTTACTTTTGTGGGGAAGGACATTTTGAAAAGGACAAAATATTTAGATCAGATTGCAGTTAAATGTCCAAAGGATGCTTCAATCGCTTTAGGAAAAACAAAAACAAAAAACTGTAGGGGTGATGACTTACTATGAACATATCCTGCTTATACCTTTATTAGTTTTATGTAATTGATATGGTTAAATAACGTAATCAATAAAGATTCTATTCCTTAAGATATCTGTGCCACCCCTCTCTGATGCACGGGGATGGGGGATGATGGGAGCCCTCCGATGCCTTTCAGAAGTGTTACCTTTTTTTGCTGATGGTCTATCATGACATTATGAGGCTTGACGTCTCTATGCATGATCCCCATGCTGTGACAGTAATCCAAGGCCTGAAAAAACATTTCCTTAGAAATTATGCTAGTAATGCTGCCCAACTCCAAATGGCTTTGAGCCATGAGCAATACTAAAAACAAAATATTTAAAAAACCAAATACAAAAAGAAGTCAAAAATATTTTTTAAAAAACTTGAAAGCACAGTGGTTAACCTGGAAGGCCCAACCAAGCACCAGCCCCACTCACACACGCCTTCCCAAAGGAATCAGCAGCCGGTTCAAGACCAGCTCAAGACTGGGAAGCCCCCTTCCTTCAGCAGCTTCTCGCCAAAGGCCATTTGAGAATGCTGCAGAAGCAAGGGGGACAGATGGGAGAGCCTCTCACCAGCTCACCGGGACCCCTGCAACTCTCCAGGCCCAGCCTGCCTTTCCCAGTCTGGATCAGCACCCAATGGCTTCATTCTGCTCCCTGCCAGATGGGCTCATCTTTCCCCCTTCTTCTCCTATCCCTTCCTTTTGGGTGATTAAACTAGGTTAGACACCTAGTTCCAATGCTTTCAGGAAATAATAATCTTTTGGCTCCTGAAAGAGTAACTATGGGCCAATGTTGCCAATGTTTACTCAACAGACTAAAGATAACTTAGAGTGATATATGAACCAACCAAAAGCTTTAGCCCCACATGAGTTAAATTCTGATTCTGTAACGTTTTGGATCTCAGCCAACATTCGCATGCCATTAATGCTGGGGCAAAGACATCTGTGATATTCTCAAGCCTGACTGCAAACTTTCCTATTTCTTTTCTTTTTTCTTTTTGGAGAAAATTTTAAAAAGTGATTTGTGATCATTACACAGCTCCCCATCTGAGAAAACTTAAATTTAGGTACCATGAATGTCTTAGTAAACGGCTGCTCCCTCATTGTAAACTGCTCGAAAACTTCAGCTACTGGGCAGTTTAAAATTTCTAATAATTGAAATCATGAACACTCACCTTGAGCAATTCATACATATAAAACCGAATATCAAAATCCGTTAGAATTTGGTACAGTTGCTGAAAGAGACACAAGAAAAGACAACAACGGTCAGGTTTTTGGCTCCATGACATTTTATGTCTTCTGTCCTCCGACTGGGTGGCCACAGACGCTCTTCTGCATTCAACAAGAAGTCTACAGGCTGACAGAGCCTCAGATGGCCCTGGAAAGCCAAGGAATGGGACAGGATCCTAAAGCCCCTTTCCTCAACCCAATTAATAATAATTAATAAACAATCAATAATAATTAATTTTTATATTTCCATAATTAGTATATCAATTGTAAATATATTTCCTAGCTCTTCTCTTCACCCAATGATATTCTCCTTCTATAACATTAAACAAATATAATTTCTAATATTTGACATTTTCCATATTTAAACGATTAAGTAAAAACATTTTCTTCTATATTTATACCAACACTACTCTGGCCTGTTGGATTTCAATTTCAATAATCCTGTGGAGGTATCTGTTCTACTCCAGTTTTCTAATTTATTAAAGTCTATGCCCTCTATCTGAAGAAACATTCGCTCGTATTTCCATTAGATTTTATATTCACTGATTATTTCACTAATACTTGGGCTCCTTCTCTCTATAATATTCCTACAACATATGTAGCTTCTACTCACCTTGTGAGTCCACCGAAGCCTGGCACTCCACAAGCAGTTCCATCAACAGACACACTGACCTACAACCAGCCTATGAAGCCCTCAGAATCAACTGCACCGCCAACCAGGGACAGCGCTGGCCCACAGCCAACCCATGCAAGCCCCCCTCCCACCAGTTCACCTCCCAACGACCCTCACCTGATGTAACTCCCCATCACAAGACCCTCACTTGACACACACATACCTGACCCATCACAAGACCTACTGACCACACTAAACTGAAGAACACGGACACCGACATCCCCTAAACTCTGCTGAAGATGTTACCTAGCCTGGTAACGAAACGTCTGGAAACCAACCCACAAGCTCGGAGAACGCACCTTCATCAGACACCCGAGCTACAGATGTTCACCACTATTGCAAACGCAGCTAATTCTTTTCAGCTTTCTCTCTAAAAAAATTCTTATATTTTTTTTTGCAATGTTATGTTCAACAAACTTGTCCCAGATTCTAACCATTCTACAGCCCCATCTTAATTTCCCAAAAAAACTGAACCAAATCCACCAGAACTACTATATTCATTTCAAAATTTAGCCCAGTTCCCAAATGAAGAGCGTGACTATGAAGAAAGTATCACCGCACAGAGATTAGTGTGGAATGACACCCTGCAGGGCCACTGTTGCTATGCCGAGCCTGATTCTCCAAGCAATGCAATAAGCTGGCTCTGCGTAGCTTTCTTTGAACTGTGCCGCAACAGCCGCCACCAGCTTCCTGTTGGCAGGTCAGCTTCTTGCAAATTGCCTTAAAGGCTCTACAGTTTGTTCTGCCAGAACAGCAACTCCACATTTCCTCTCCTAAGCATTTCTGACTCACCTTGAAGTCTGTATTATTGATGTATTCAAACACCAGAGCTGGAGTCTTTGACTGAAAGAGAGAACAGTTCGATTTACTTACACTCTGTTCTAGTGTGTTTTCCTAATTATTTCAAGTTTTTTTTAATTGACTCAAATTAAAGAACCGAATTGGTTTCTCTCATTAAAAGACATAGCGAGCAGCATTAAATTATCTCATTCTTGCTGGTTTCCTCATCTTTCCTGACCTACCTCGAGGACTGAAGGGGAGTTTTGTCTGAAAGAATATTAGAATATTTCAGAAACCAAATTATTAGAAATCCAATCCCAAC